TCATTTTGGACCTGATGGTCTTTGACGATATACTGATATTATACTAGTTGATATAACCTGATCCTAGATGACCAGTAATGAACCATCTGATTTATTGAACATCTTTCCTGATGTCAGCCAACAGTTCGACGCTGTATTGTCGACATGGTCTTGACTGACATCATTGGGATATCGCCCGTGCAGAGGTTTACCTATCCAGGTGCGCATTTTTTCGTTCTTAGGAAGATGGTTTTTGCGCATTTCTTCTTCCCTCAATTTGATTGTTGTTGTATCATCTACTGAACAAATGCTAGTAAATACCGCGGTAATGTCTCAATTTCTACAATGGATATCTTATAGATTTTGAATTTTACCAAGGTAAAAAAAAAGATATACACACCAAAGTTGAGGAAACCTTTGAAAAACCTACCACTACGCTGATACAAATGTCGGAGCAGATACCATATAATTAATATCCTTCTCATTTCTACGTGGATAATATTTTTACTAATATAAACGTTAACTTTTTAAAATTAAAAGGATACAATATAAGGGAAACCTTATATTAGGGATGATAGCATTCCTAAAACATGTCTACTGCCAAGAAAAACAGAATTTACCAAACGGTTGAAAATTTAATTATTGGTTCTGAGACTACGGAAGCATGAAGAACTATAACTGACCTAAAGAAAAAAATCCATAACTTGTCAAGCAACTTAATCCCTCTAGAAAAGTGTGTGTGTGTGTGTGTGTGTGTGTGTCATCGAATTTCCTGACTGTGGACTTAATCCATTAGCCGATTAGAAAAGTGGAAAATCACTATAAAAATTTACTCCAAGAGTCAAGACTGGAATATATGGGAGAGGAATACAGTATGAAGAGACAAACAAATAGTTACATTAATACTACTAACAACGAGGCCCCTACTGCGTTAATTAAAATGAAAAACGGGCGATCTCCAGGACCTGCCAATATAGCTGTAGAGTTACTTAAATCAGAAGGTCCACTCCTAGTAGAACGAATAACTTTTCCAATGAATCAATGCTGCCAACAAATTAAAATACCATCTTAATGGAAAACCGCTCACCAAGTGTCCATTTTAAAAGGGGTAATCGAAAAGATCCTAACTGCCATAGAGGATTAAGTGTCCTACATACTTTTGGGAGATTATTTGGAAAGATAATAAATGGAAAAATGCAAGATGATGTAGAACATCTAATTAGCGAAGACCAAAGTGGATTTACGGCTGGTAGATCTTGCACTGATAACTTGTTTATAATCCAACAATTAATAGAAAAAATAATAGCGGTTGGTACGGAAGTACATCTCGCCTTCATCGACCTAGAAAAGGCGTATGATACAGTTCCAAGACTTAAATTGTGGCAACCTTTACAACAACTCCGCATTAGTTCATACCTTCTAGGACTAATCACGGAAGTATACAGGGATAACACCACTTACCTAAAAATCGGAAATAGACTATCAGAGCCAATAAAAGTAACTAAAGGACTAAGACAAGCATGCAGTATACCACCTTTACTGTTTACTTTATTTATTGAGGCAGCACTCCAAAATTGGAATAACCACTGCCAGGTAATGGGAATCCCCATAGGAAATGACGTACTGTTCTCCATAAACTTTGTGAATGATCAGGTCGTCCTAGCTCAAGATTCTTATGATCTAGAATTTATTATTATACAGAGAATATGTTAAATTAGGGTTACAAGTCAGCATGAAGAAAACAGAATATTTAATTATTAATTCAAATGCGTCTTCTTCTCGGTCCTCTCTTACCATTTACCTTCCCTTTTTCCGGCCCCTTCCGGATCGGGAAGAAGACGCATTTCCTGGCTTCAAAATTTACGAAAGTGGTATAACATGACTACCACTGAACTGTTTCGCGCTGCAGTAAACAAAGTAAAGATAGCCGTGATGATCGCCAACATCTGAAACGGATAGGCACTTTAAGAAGAAGAAGAAGAATTCAAATGCAAGGTTTGAAGTGTTGATAGAGGAGGACGTGGAAATTAAACAAGTGGAAAAATTTAAATATTTAGGTGCACTCATTGATCAGAACGGCTTTGGAGAAACGAAATTAAACACCGAATTAATCAGGGACGTAAAATTGTAGGATGTCTGAACTCCTTTTGGTGGGATCGCAACATTTTAAAAAAGAACAAAAAAGAATAGGGCAAACCATGGTTGAATCAGTTCTTTGTTATGGCTCTGAAGTATGGTCAAACAATGCAGACCTTAAGAGAAGATTGTTGGCAGTTGAAATTAATTATTTGAGAAAAAGTGCTAGGACATCAAGGCTGGAAAGAAAGGGTAACGAATCTATAAGAAATAACATGAATACTATAGAAACGGTTATTGACAGTATAGAAAGAAGAGGTTTAAAATAGTTTGGACACCTATTGAGAATGCCTGACGAACGTTTGCCCCAAAAACTTCACAGATGGAAGCCCTGATGACTGCTACATCTACAGCTTATGCTGCTGCGTCTGTGGGAACTATGAATTTATTTTATTTTAGTTACTGTACTTTAACGACCTCTATGATTCCAGAGTTACATTTATGTGACATGTTTATTTAGATAATAGGTTTTTGGAATAAAAAATTGTTAATTGGTGTATTATTATACATTTTTAATAAAAATATATTAGTTTCTTTAATAAATTACAAAAAACTCGTGTCATAATGGGTTAAAATTGGTTCAATTTTTGAATATTATTGTATTTGGTGGAACTTGTTTTGTAAAAATATATAAATAGGCGAGCGGTTTACCCCTATAAGCAGAGCATCAACCTACTAAAATTCTTTTTGCATTTCTAATGCACCAAACCTTTTTTATTCGACTCTATATATATTTTTCCAAGATGAAATGTATTTTTTTTTAATTTTCACAAGTGGACCGGCAATTGTTATTAACAAATAACTTATACAAAAAATCAATTTCACCGAATTGTTTTGGAATCAATTTTTTTAGGTGTATCTCGTTAAATAAACACTTTTTCTCTCCGGATAATTTTTCGAAAAATGCTTCCTTTTCAAGTTATTTGCATTTTTTTGTTGAAAAAATGCCTTAATTAGTGATTTTTGAGATTTTTTTTTCTAAAAAACTACTAAATGAATTCCAATTTTACAAATAGCTTTATAATCTCTAAACCGTCGAGTATAAGTTGGAATATTTTGACAAGGATAAAGGGTTTCTATCTCGCTAAAAACGTGAACCCAAATATTTCGAATATGCCTTTCGAGAGTATCCCGCTAAGCGTGTACAACGGTTAAGGTGCTGTAGGTGCTCGAATCTTTTCGACATTTTTAATAATGTAATATATATATATATATATATATATATATATATATATATATATATATATATATATATGAAAAATATCTGATAATTGATTAAATTATCAGATATTTTTATTTATTTATTTATTTATTTTTAATTTTAATTTTATTTAATACTACGTGGGTAAGTAAATACTGGGTTACTTACTAAATATTCTACATTTCACTACAAATTCCTTAGATAATTCTAAATTACCGCCAATGATATTTGCTCCGTGCGTGACTATGGTAAGGGTACATTGAAACAACATGTAAGGGTGTGCAAATACATGTTGCGTAAATAAATGCAAATAAATGAATGGATTCAAGCAAAAAACAATATTATTTCATCTCTTGATCCATTAACCCATGGTTGGACAATGGAAAATAATTGTTTCGATTTTAATTATTTTGAACGCGAAACTAGTTTAGATATTTTACAAAAGTATTTCTGCTCATGTACCGGAAAATGTTCTACGAAAAATTGTAATTGTATTTCTTATAATTTAGAATGCTGCGCAGTATGTACATGTACACCAGAGAATTGTAAAAATGTTAAAGACGACTTTATTGAAGACAATGAAATCAGCTTATTAGATGAAAATCCTGTTGCTGTTGACGAAAATTTTCAAATTATTGACAATGAAAACGATGTATAAATAATATATTTTTATTTTATTATATTTTTCAATGAAAATTGATTATATATTGCTTAATGTATTTCACTGTAATAAAACATTCAATAATAGAGTCACCACGTATATTAAAAGAAAAATTACATTATTATAGCATTGTAAAAAATTAATTTTAATTGTTTTAATTATAATATGTCTATATAAAAATAATTATAAATATCTTTTTTTTTAATAAATTGTACGTAATATTTGTATTAAATTAATTTTTTAAATCTAAACAAATATTTCTAGGCGCGCCGCACGCCTGTATCGCCGCAACCGCTGTACACACTTAGCGGTAGACTGCTCGAAAGGCATATTCGAAATATTTGGGTCCACGTTTTTAGCAAGATAGAACAAAATTATACTTGTCAAAATATTCTAACTTGTACTCGACGGTTTAAACATTATAAAGCTATTTGTAGAATTGCAACTCATTTAGTAGTTTTTTAGAAAAAAAATCCCAAAAATCACTAATTAAGGCACTTTTTCAACAAAAAATGCAAATAACTCGAAAAGGAAGCATTTTTCGAAAAATTATCAGGAGAGAAAAAGTGTTTATTTTGATGAGATACACCTAAAAAATTGATTCGGAAGAAATTAGGTGAAATTGCTTTTTTGTATAAGTTATTTGTTAATAACAATTTGCCAGCCCACGGTAAAAATTAAAAAAAAATACATTTCATCTTGGAACAATATATAGAATCGAATAAAAAAGGTTTGGTGCATTAGAAATGCAAAAAAAATTTAGTAGGTATATTCTGTTTCTAAGCGTCTTTTAAGGGGTAAACCGCTCGCCTAAAATATACGTATACGATAACTTACGTAGAAATATCCACCATAAAATTGTATTTTTTATTTGTACTTTAATTTACACTAATAATATGGTTTGGCTATTATTTATAACAGGGATTTATATTAAAATATATAATATTGTTATCGAAAAAATTCTCAATAAAGATTAAAATTATACTATAAATTTATTATAAATTTAAAGTATATATAGAGCAACAACTTTTCCCACGTTGACATTATCTCCGTGTTCATTGTAAAACAGGAAAATCTTTTAATCGGCCTGTTTTATCAAACTGAGAATGATATTTAAGTTAGTTTTGTTCGTTACTGTGTACTGTGTACACGAAATATCTGGACACGGTTACATGTTAAATCCTCCAGGAAGAAGTTCTATGTGGAGATTCCACCCAACAGCAACACCAAATTATCAAGACAACCAAATTTTCTGTGGGGGAGCATACGTAAGTATTTTGTTTTCTAGTCAGACATTTTTAAATATGCATCATGCTGAAGATTTTGGACAGCATTCTACATTTGGTTCTATATCTTCTTCTTAACGTGCTCCACAACTAAGGACATTGGCGACCATCATGGCCCATTTAACTCTATCTGCAGCAGTTCTAAAAAGTTCTATTGACGTTTTCCCACTCCATTGTCTCAGATTCTTCAACCAGAGCGTGCGTCTTCTCTCCGGTCCTCTTTTGCCTTCCACCTTCCCTTGTATGACCATGCGCATCAATTCGTATTTCTCGCTTCTTAGCACGTGACCAAAGTAGCTCATTCTTCTTTTCTTTATAGTGTTGAGTAATTCTTAATATTTTTTTATTCTTCGTAGCGTTAATAACTTCGATAACAACACATTTCAAAGTTAATGAGCCTTTTCTCTGTCGCCTCTGTAATTGTCCAGGCCTCAACTCCATACAACAGAACAGAGAACACGTAGCATCTCAATAGTGCAGTTCTAATTTCAATGTTGAGTTTTCCATTGCATAATATTGCTTTCATATTATTAAAAGCACTTCTAGCTATCTCAATACGCCGTTTATTTCCGTAATTCTATCCCATTCTTCATTTAGTTCGCAACCTAAGCACTGATATCTTTGCACCCTGCCTAAAAGTTTTCCTTTAGCATAAACACTCTCTTTCTCAATCTTGTTCTTGCTTCCCACCATGATTTTTGTTTTATTTATGTTCAGTGCCATTCCATACCTTTCGCAGTATTGGCTAATGCGATAAACCAAGATCTGTAATTCTTCTCTGCTATCCACAAGGAGTATTGTGTCATCTGCATATCTAAGATTATTCAGAAGTGCTCCGTTAATAAATATGCCTTCATTTACGTCTTCTAATGCCTCTTTCAACAATTCTTACTTCACGATTTATAGGTATTTCTTTCGATTTTTGTTGGTCTATTCGTATTATGGCTTTCTGATATCGGTATAGATTGGCAATCATTATCACGTCTTCGTCATTTAATTCTGTGTTCTGCAGTATTTTTGCTATTCTTCGGTGGTGCACTTTGTCGAAAGCTTTTTCGAAGTCTGCTTCAAAATAATGCTTCTCTGGCGCCAAAGCCTGTTCTGAATCCCAATTGGTTTTCAGCTATTCTATTATCTACCTTTTTATAGATACGTTAGTGTATCAGTCGTAAGAACACTTCATATGAGAATATGGTTCATCAAGCTAATTATCATGTGCTCTTCACACTTCATTGCGATTGATTTTTTGAGTATTGGAATAAATATTGATATTAACCATTCTTTCGGATCTCTCCCGTATAATAAATGTCATTAAATAATTTTATTAGTGTGCCCATATGATTTTTGGTTAATAGTCTTAAGATTTCTTAGTTATTTCATCTGGTCACATGGCCTTCTCATTTTTTATACGTTTTAGCGCTTTCTCAATTTCGTCTTTGGTGATTGGTAACCCATTTCTTCCTCTTGATTCAATGACCTCAATTTTTTCGTCGTCTTCGAATAACCCTTTTATATATTCTTCCCATCTGTTTATTTTATATGTACATTCCGTTATTATCTTGTTTTTTATCCATGATATTTCCGATACCCTTCTTCTTGTATATGACAGCTGTCTCTTTGATTTTCCGATGTATGTTAAAACTCTCCTGTTGTTTATCTAACCTTTCTATTTCTTGACACTTTGCTGAGACCCACAGTTCCTTAGCTTCTTTGATTTTCTGTTAGATTATTTTATTAATTTTTTTGTACTGTTGTTCGGTTTTATTTTTAAATGATGTGTCTTCTTGAAGTTTTTGTTTTGTGATATTTCTCAAGATCTCCTCTACTTTCCTTCATTTATCTGTTGCTGTCAATTGCTTTTGCCTTTCTGCTTCCTGAACTTCTTTGTGCACTTGTTCTTTGATTTGTTGGTATATATCAGTTTCTTTTAGTTTTCTCAGATTGATTCTCGGTGTTTTGTTTTTAACTTTTTACCTTGAGTTTCATGTTTGCTAGAACTAGATTATGGTCACTTGTTATATCTGCTCCTGGGTACGCTTTAGCAGATATTATGGCATTTCGAAATCTTTGGTTCTATATACCTACTACAAATTGATTGTTTCAAAAATTACTAAAATATTTTAGGTTCAAAATGAATTAAATGATGGAAATTGTGGTGTATGCGGTGATGCATACACAGATCCCCATCCTCAGGAAAATGAAAACACTGGAAAGTACGGCCAAGGAATTATCGCCGCAACTTATGAAGCAGGTTCAGTTATTGATGTTCAGATTCAACTAACTGCAAATCATCTTGGCAATTTTACATATAGGTAAAATATTTTACATTGTATGAATTTATACTGTTATATTGTTCTGCTATTTTAATTGGTAATAAGTCACAATTGTTCTTTAAACTAAGTTTATTATCGACGTTTCGGTTTTCAATTCGCAAATCGTTTTCAAAATACGAAACATTAGTAAATGAAACAAATTTTGATTTCTGTTACTTGGTAAAAAATTCTTTTAATAATATAATTTTATCTGACTAAGTCATATTGACAATTCAGACATTGATTATACATTTTAACGCAGAGGACTTTAAAATGATATTGCCAATACTTTTGAGTTTGCGTTTCTGGGACGACTTTATTGAAAGATAGTTATAGAATAGAAATGTGCTTTATAGTCACTGAAAATTGTATTTTGAATTATTGAGAATTTGAGTATATGAAGTTTTTTTTATACAATATCACAGGATGGGTTCTGATAATACAAATGTTAAGAGACTGTATAAATTTAAAATAGTGATAAACCTGAGTTGTAGGATTATTATTGATATAATTCTATACTTATAATTCTTTTAATACTTATTATTTTAGTCTTTGTCAACTTGAAGATCCCAATGCTCCCGAACCAGGTGAATTTTGTTTCGAAGACTTGTTACTGGAGGATGGTTCGGCAAATTACAGAGTAGCCGAAGAAGATGAAGTAGTTTACAACAGAGTTAGACTGCCGGGTTTTCAATGTCCAAGATGTGTTCTCAGATGGACGTACAAAGCAGGTAATAACTGTTAAATATGTTAGTCCTGTTTCTGCTGCTTAAAGTAGTACTTATAATTTTAAAGTAATTACTATTTAAATGGGAAAAGTTTAAAGTACGTTAATTGGCGTTTCAATTTCCACTTCGGAAAATCTTGACAACTGTGGCTAATATGTCATCATTTCTATTAAGGTTATCTAAAGTGTGTATACTGTTTTGTTCTAAAAGAATGTTAAATTTATTTAAATGTATATTTCTTTGTTTTCATATGAATTTTATGATATGATATAAGTGGGCTAAAAATGCTCCGGCCCCATCAAAAATTCGCGCACAGAACATTATTACACACCTTCCTGGTCTTCGTGGACCTGCCTTAGAAACGAAACCATCCAGTCCACTTGAATCCTGGTCACTTCTTATAACTCCTGACATGTTGGCCTCTATTCTAGAGTACACAAATGAAAAAATTACCGAGCTCAGTGTAAATTATGGGGATACATGTACATTTGTCGATCATCTAAACGAAGGTGAACTTAAGGCTTTTTTGGGTCTTTTATACCTTTCAGGTGTACTAAAGTCTAATCATGAGAATGTTGATTCATTATTTTCGACAAGTGTTTTAGTTAGGCCAATTTTTCGTGCTACAATGTCAAAAGAACGCTTCTTATTTCTTCTCACAGCAATAAGATTTGACAATCATGAAATAAGAGAGCAAAAGAAGGCCAATGGAGATTGACTTGCAGCAGTGTCCTATTTATTTAAATGTTTCGTATCTAACAGTACAGCAAACTACACCTGTTCCAAATATGTTACAGTGGACGAGATGTTGGTTGGGTTTAGAGGTAGATGCCCTTTCAGAATGTACATGAAAGCCAAACCAGTCAAGTACGGCATCAAGATCATGTGTTTATGTGACGCAAAAACACATTATTTGGTAAATGCTTTTGTGTATACGGGTAAAACAAATGATCCTCATGCCCAAAAGCTATCCATACCTACAAGATCAGTACTTGCTTTAGTGGAACCAATTGCCAATAGTAACCGAAATGTCACTGGTGATAATTGGTTCACCTCAATAGAGCTAGTTGATGAACTAAAAAAACTTCGACTTACCTATGTAAGGTACAATGCGTAAAAATAAGAGAGAAATTCCTCCACAATTTCAACCAAATAAAAATTACGAAGTTGATAAGTGTTTATTTAGTTTTACACGAGACAATACAATCGTATCATATGTCCCTAAAAAAAAATAAAAGTGTAATTATGTTGTCGTCTATGCATCACGACAAATCTGTTGACCAGGAAAGCAAAAAACCTGATATAATAGCTTTTTACAATTCGTCGAAAGGGGGCGTTGATGCACGTGATCAAAAATGTGCACTTTATCGTTCAGGTCGAAGATGCCAGCGATGGCCTTTAGTAATTTGGTATTCCATAATGGATATTGCTATAGTAAACAGTCACATTATTTTTCACGCAGCTAATCCTGGGGTTAGAAAAAATCGATCGGATTTTATTCAAGAGCTGGAAATCAGTCTTATAAATTAACATTTAGAAGTAAGATTTGCAATGGCAAATTTGTCAAGAGAATTACGCTCGATAATCTCCAAAGCATTAGAAAATAAAATTACTCATCAAGATCAGACCAAACCAGAAAGGCCAGTTGTAAGACGTAGATGCTACTTGTGTCCCAGAGCTAAGGATAACAAACATTCCACATTTTGCGCAGAATGTCATAGGAACACATTCACTTCAGAGAGTTACCTGTACTATGTGCAAAGAATAGATAAACACTTACAATTTGTTCAAATATTTTTGTCGCAAGATTCTAACATTACGAAAAAAAACATGACTGTTATTTTTTTATATGGTTACTCTATTATGATTTTCTTTTGTATTAGGTTAAGACGTTACTATTATAAACTACTTTTCAGAAAATGAACCGTTAATTTCAATTTAAGATATATATTTTTTTGTTATAATAATGAGTTATGTTTTTGATCAAAATTTAATTTAAAAGTTCTATAATTTTTATTATAGCCAGGGCCGGATTAAGGCACGGGCCAACTGGGCCGCGGCCCAGGGCGGCAAAATTTTGGGGCGGCGGATTTGAGAAAAAAAAAGTGTAATTATTTTTGATTGATTATAAAGCTTTATTATCGATTATCAAGACCAGTGAACCTGAGCATTAAATATTAAAAAACTATTTTATTGTTTATTATTTATTTATAACGCGACACTCTGCGCGGTGTAATGTGTCGCAGTACACTACGCTACGCCACTCTATCCAAGTGAGTCGAAGGGGCGAGGCGGCAGTCTGTATCGTACGCTACGCACGGGAAATTTAGTTGTGGGATCGTAGTAGTTGCTAGCATTGGCTGATGGCAGGCGTCTTGTCGCCTTGCCGCTTCCCTCCCCCCACCAACTCCATCACCGCCACGCGCCATTGTCATTCGGTTGTCTGGTCTGTCTTGTCTTGTCTCTCAGTGTTACAAGATGGTCTGCAAGGGAAGAAGCTTGCAAAAGCCTTAATAAAGACTACAAACCCATGGTCAAGACGCTGATAGACATGACTTCAAGCAATCATGAAAACAAACAGACACAATCCAAAGCCAAAGGGTTGTTGCGAAAACTAATGTCTCTAGAAACATGTTTCATGGCAGCCCTTTGGGGAGATGTACTTCAAAAATTTAATTCAGTCAGTGAAAAGATCCAGGCTGAAAATATGACCGTGGACAGCGTTGTAATCCTGTACAACTCACTCACAGAGTATGTGATGAACATGAAAGACATGTTTACCCACTATAAGAAAGAGGGCGAAAAAAAACTGCAAATTGCGCAAGGTGAAATGAGACAGAACGATGAGCCAGAACTTCCACAAGAGACGCAGCCGCAGGTGCAGCAAGATTTTGATCGCCCAAAAAGAAAGGCGAAAAGAAAGAGGTTCTTTGATGAATCTTCAGAAGAAGATGAAGAAAGAACTTATGATGAGGATGATGACATTAGGGGAAATTGTCTTCAACAAAGTTATGACATCATCGTGGAAACACTTCAGTTTCAGTTAGACAAAAGGATCTCTGTGTACACAGACTTCGTTGCAAAGTTTTCATTTCTAACAAAATTAAAGACTCTAACTACCGAAGAAATTACTGCTAACGCGACGTCTTTGCAGAAAATCTATATTGAAGACATTGAAGAGTCAGAGTTTATATGCGAGTGCATCCATCTGAAAGGACTTCTGATCCGAGGAAACTACAAAGAAGCCGAAAAAGACTTTTCACTATCAAACTTGTACAGATTTTTGATAGAAAAAAATCTACAGGACTTGTTTCCCAACGTGGCTATTGGTTTGAAAATGTTTTTGACAACTCCTGCTACAAACTGTTCTGCTGAGAGATCGTTTTCGACCTTGAAAAGAGTAAAAAACTATCTGCGTTCAACAGTGACTCAAGAACGACTCGTCAGCCTGGCTGTTTTAGCCATAGAACATGAACTGACAACAAAACTCGATTTCAGTGCAGTTGTTGATGATTTTTCCAATGCACGTGCAAGAAAGAAGAAGTTTTAAGTTATATTTACTTTAACAAAGCTAATTTAGTGAGTAAGTTATTTGTTTGGATATGTGATTTGTATGCTCTGAACAGTTATATTTCGATGTTGTATATATTTGTTATTATCCTATATTCAATACAGAAATTATCATTTATTTTGCAGTCTTACTCTGTACACCTTTTACTAATTTTAGCCCCTTCCTAACTGTCCTGTTTTTGCCCATAAATCGACAGCAATGACCGATTATGGCTCAAAGCCTGCGGGCACATTCACAGGTGAGCCGTCGCCGAGTAACGAAGCCGAATTTTCACTTCACTCCAAATCAATCATTCTCAGCCAAAATAGTCATAAAACTATAAAAGAATTGTTGAGTTTGGGAATTACGAGCTGCATGATGTTTCACAAAATAATATCAACAACGATTTTATTTACTATTATTGTAATCTTAAGTAATGGAATATCACGGTTGTAGAAAATGGTTTCGTAATTAACGGAGTTTTGTCAAATAGTTTATTTTAATTAATAAAACGCAATTTTAGGACATAGTTTCTTGTTTTCATCATGAGAGGTACTAAAACCATTACAATATCAAGAGACAGTTGAGCGCTGGAAAATGTCCCAAAATGCGTTATTTTGCCTCTAAATTTCAATTTTTTTCGGGGGGGGGGCCCGGACCCCCCCCCCCCGGTGTTGCACCCCCGCTAGGGCGGCAGGCAGACCTCTGGCCCATGGGCGGCA